GCCTCCCAAGTAGCTGGGATCACAGGTGCCCACCGCAATGCCTGGCTGTTTTTTGGTTGCAGCCATCGTTGTTTGGCAGGCCTGGGCTGGATTCAAACCCGCTACCTTAGGTGTATGTGGCTGGCGCCTTAGCCACTTGAGCCATAGGTGCCGAGCCAAGACTTAAAGTTTAAAGGAAACCTGGCTCCCAACCTTTTGAGACACGTATAATCACCTTCGGTTTATTTGGCTCACATTTGTTATTTTGCTGGGGGGGGGAGGTGTCACATCTACACAGAGACTATTTATTTATTTAGTGGTGCCACATCTCACAGCATCCTCAAACTCTTGGGCTTAAGTGATTTTCTTGCCTCAGCCTCCCAAGTAGCTGGGACTATAGGCATCCACCACAATGCCCATATTTTTGTTGTTGTTGTCATTGTTGTTTGGCAGGCTCAGGCCCCAGTGTATGTGGCCAGTGCTCTAACCACTGAGTTATAGTCGCCCACCCTACACAAAGACTTTAAAAGCCACCTGTCCTAAAGACATGAATGAGCAATGGTCAGGGGCCAGGGAGACAAGATTTAACACCATAGAGAACCTGCCTTTGAGGAATTTCTGGTGCAGTGGAACAGGGCAGGGACAGGCACATAAACTCTGGGTATAAGTGCTCACATCCAGGGCAGTGCAGGGGGGTGTGGGTTGCTCAGGGAAAGGCTGGATTGAAGTGTGTGCATTGAGTGAGAAGGGTACCCAGGGTACCTGCAGATCTGGGTCTTAGAGAATGAGCAAGAATTAGCCAGGCATGGAGGGTTGGGAGAAGGCTTTCAGGAGAGGAGATTAGTGTAGGCTCAGCCAAAGCCTGTGAAACTGCCTGGTTGCAGAGCTACTAAGTGTAAAATTAAACAGGGGAAGGCCAGGGGTCAGGGAATGAGGCCACAGAGCAAGGTGGTGAGGCCTGGTTCATGAGCTGGGACTCTATCCTGTGACAAGGAAACCTCTAGGGAGTGGTTCAGACCAAGCCTTAGCCCTTAAGCTGGCACGTTTCTGGGCTGAGCAATTACCTTACTTCCTTATGTATCAGACTCTTTACCATCTTCTGGAGAGAAATCTAGGAGAAAAACACATGGATGGTACATAGCGATCAGATAGCTGTCTTCCTCCATTTGAACACTAGGGAAACCCATCGCCCCAAGAAGCCTTTGACTTTCTTTGAATGACACAAGCCTCACCCTCCTCCTCCCTTACCACCCATGTGAGGGGAAAGTGACAGTAGAGCCTGTGTGCGGTAGGAATGGGGTGAGAGGGCCACCTCTGTCCCCCTCTACTGGACAGCCTGAGGAGTTAGCCAACTGGAAATCTGAATCTCCTGGTCATGGGCACATGGTCCAAGGAGCAGGAGGACGCAGCTGACATCGACAGCAACTGCTAAGAATGCTGTTCGCAGCCCCAGGGCCTTCTCTCAGGACCCCTCATCTCTTTCCAGCAGAGCAGCAAGAGTGCAGGTGGATGGGTCTGCCAAGCACCGGCTTCTTTTCTGCTTAAACCCCTCCCAGGGCCTCTTCCAACCAGCACCTGTGTAAACTCAAGGCTGCATTTGAGGCTCACTAGGGGAAGAGTCTGATTCCTTAGGTTGTAGGAAGGCCTAGGAGTCTGTTTCCTAATAGGATTCTCAAGTGACTGTGAGGCCTAGTCAGTTCGGGGAGCACAGGTCTTCAGGTTAAGACTCAGGCTCCTTCATATGGCTCACGGGTCCCTCCAGCCTCCTCTCACTACCCCTGAGAGTCTACCCTGCATCCCCACCATATTGAATTGCTGCTAGTTCCCCAATTGGCCACACTTTTCATGTCTCCTTGCCTTTGCTCAGGCGTTCCTTCTGCCCGCAGTGCCCTGCTTCACTCTGCATACACACATCCTGCTATGAGTGGAACCGTGTGCCCTCATTCACACGTGAAGCCCTCACCCCTCATGTGATGGTATTAGGAGGTGAGACTTTTGGGCGGTGCTCAGAGTTAGATGAGGTCGTAAGGCTAGAGCTCCGATGATGGAATGGAATATCACCCTGGTAAGAAGAAATGCCAGAGAGCTTGCTGTGTCCCTGACCACCTCCTCCCCACCAAGCAAGGACATAACTGAGATGGCAGCTGTCTGCAAACCAGGAAGAGATTCCTCACCAGAACCTGTCCACGCTGGCATCCTGATCTCAGACTTCT